CAACTGTGACCTCAACCACGGGAGAGAAATGTGCATTTCCATAGTAACCATGTGGGACGGCAACGCTTTCCCCATTAATGCTTCTACCACGTGCATTTAAAGCAAACATGACACGTACTCTCTGATTAGATTCGTAACCTAATGCCAATGTGCGGCATCGCCACATGACGGCAGTAATCAGTTCGAATGTTGTTGTAGATTTGGAGAGATGTCCTGAAATATGGCTTCTTAAAATATCTATCTCTTTTGGTCCAAAGAATACATATTGCATTTCCATAGTTTCTGGTGGAGTTGATAGCATCACATCATCTCCTCTGCAGTCTAACCCAAGAAGAAATGGTTTATAAGCCGGATAGACATGTGAGACGGAGGGTGGGATGCGTGCTGTGAAAATATCTCTTTTCCACACGGGCAAAGTGGTTGGGATAAGTTCACCACATGCGAAATCAGCTATAGATTTTATAAATTGGAGGGTGCCAAAACCATCAGCAATGCAATGACACATGTGAAGCCCAATGACAAATCCTCCACATTTGAGTTGTGTCACCTGCAAAACAAATGATGTATATATGGTGAAGTCATGAATGGTAGCATGATATCCCAATAAGACATATAATTAGAAATTCTAGTAGTAATGGAATTAATTGATTAAGGTGATAACATACTAGCCATTCCCCTTTTCTATATTAGTACACCTTCTATTTGTACTGGTGCTGATCAGATTTGAGTGTCAAAACGCAAATTGTTTTGATTTTGTGTGATCTCAGCAAATAATATAAATATTAGATCCATCTTAGTTCATATTTGCAAACATTTCACTACAGCAAAAATCAGTTCATATTTGCAAACTACCATCAAATTATATGTACAATCATTAATTAAGTTTAGATACAACACTAAATATCTAAACATAACATAAATATAAAATAATTAGTTAATAATTTGAAAATGATAAAAGTTTACATAAACCAGGGAACAATGCACTAGTACTAGAATGGAAAACGTACGTAAGGAACAAAACCTCCCTAGCTAGCTCGCTAGCAACTTCTTTTCCTCCATGGTAAGTTGGAATTTCCTAGCAACCTTTTCACTTTCTGGAAACTTGTACCCGGTGAAAAAGACCCATAATAATACTAGACCTACGAAGACCAATTAC